AGAGTGATTGCATGGGAGGAAAATACTCGGATCCAAAGCCATTAATGAGTATAACCTATTCTTTGGTCACTCTGGTGATATTTATACTACATTTAATGTCTTCGTCATCTATTTCTTTATTCTTATTAATCCATTCTTCGATGGCTTCTAGTGTTCTTTTTCTCGGGTTTGTTTTCGTTTTTAACGTGGAGGCTGCAATGCCTCTTCCTTCGTGTAATTCGCGGATTTCAGTGGCCATTTGATGAAATGAAAATTTCGGATCCAGTCCGGACTTTTTGTCAAATAGTTCTTCAGTAGTTTTTCGACGTCTGGTAAGTAGCTTCGTTCGCCGAATTGTTTACTTCGTTTATTATTATGCCTTTTCGTAGGCTCGATTAAATTGACAATTTTATCAATTTTTTGATTTATGTCGTCAAGTTTATTTTTGTGGAGTTTATAATAAAACATGAAGCCCGATCAGCAATCCACAATAGAATTCGCTGCTGGCAGAAATATGCATTTTTTAAATTGTTTAAGTCAAAGTGTGATCAGATAGTTTTTACGATTGATTTTGTGATCAATTTAAATTGATAATTGTTAGGTATGAATGAAGAGAGATTCTGACAGTTTATAGTAACCTCGTGCACTCATAAAAAGCAGGCTCGAATCAATAGTTTTATTAAAAGTCTAGACAAAACTGTTTGATTTACCGACGAACCCTTTTTTCTTTGATAATAAACAAAGATTATTGTTCTTTATGGCAGTATAACAACCATCAATTAGGTAGGGTATGGTTAGAACTTATATTGTGTGACAATGTATATTTCGGATGTCGCTCGTATGGTTGAGGAAGGAGGGATCAAACTGGGATTTTACACAGCAATTCGAGGATTACATGGGAGGGGTGTCATGGGATACCTTTGTCCGCGAGTGTGACCAAGTACAAACGATACTGATCATGGATAAAATTCAGATGTTATACAAGCCGGAAGGTGTTTCAACTTGTTTATTTGGTGGTGACAGGTTTTGGGACACAGTCAAGAGAGTTCTACAGGGTGGTGGTCTCCACATCGTTACCTTTGCATCCTATGGATATCGTGGAGCATATAGTGGACCAGAATATCTTAAAATTACATCTCCTTTTGACTTAGACGAAATTAATACGTTATGGCACCAATTAACGCCTTATATTCAAATCATGAGTCCAAGAACGGATTTATGTGACACGTGCCAACATTTTC